ATGTCATCATATACAATTCTACCTTTCCAATATTGGACAGTCATACCAATTACATGTGTATGCCTGACAATTTGATGTCAATGCTGATTTCTAACTCATTATACTGATTGTTCTTTAGAGATCTCATATATGTACAAGTATGACTCGAAATCTTGTGTTTGTGCATGAAATAAAGGAGTCTGCAAATACTTCAAGGTGTTCTAAACTCAGACTGAAGCACTGAATGGGTTTGACTACAAACTTCAATTGCATTAGTATTGCTTCTAATAAAGTATACCATCCAGTTGAATCAATTACAGTCTAAATGTAATAATCTGAAATTTGATGCAATATGAAGAGATTAAAGTTACAACTACAGTTTGGTTGTTGTTTATTGTCATGACCCGATTTCTCGAGTCATGATGGCACCTACTATGCCCTACTAGTAGGTACGCCAACCCGTAACCCAAAACATCAAGCAATGAGCGAAAGAGCAGAAACTAGCGAAAACAATAATCTAAACAGGACAACAAGGCGAAAGCAAACCAAAATAAATATATACAGAAATTCCTCCCAGAACCTGGAAGTCACTAGTACAGAGCTATCTAATAAAGAGTACAAGTCTCAAAAGTGGACCACAACAAAGCGTGTCTCAAAGGCAACAAGGCTAGCTAAAACAAAAGAAGGAGACAAGACAAACCCAAAATGCCAAGTGCTCACCCTCGTCTCCGAATCACAGCTGCAAAAGAAGGTTGAAACTAATCACCGCTGGTAACTGGTACTGGGACCTGCATCACAAAGTAGATGCACAGTGTAGCATGAGTACCAAAACAACAGGTACTCAGTAGGCATCACAGGCCGACTGAGCAAAAGGGTAAAAACAATAAGAAAGGATAGAATCTAGACACAGAAAGGTCAAAGCGGATATGAAAAGAAAGCACACGAGCATACCAGAAATAAACTAAGTACAACTAAACTAAACCTAACTGGACCCCATAAGCCCAGAAGGTACACTCGTACAAGTTTAAATAAAACTTGAACGGACCCCCATAAGCTCGACTGGTACACCGAATAACTAAGTCTAATGAGAAAGAAGAAGACCAGGCTTCCAGCCCAAAGTAACTAAGATAATCCATCAGACTCCACCATGCCAGCAGCGCACTCCCAGCCCAGCTAGAAAGAGTGACCCTAAGGGGCACCCAACCAAATAGTCCACTCCCGGCCCAGCTTGAAAGAGGGACCCGTGAGTGAGGTAGATATTGCGAATTGTCCTACCATGCAGTCAACCCAGCCCAGCTAGAAAGAGCGACCTGAGGACACCCAGCCAGCAGCACACTCCCAGCCCAGCTAGAAAGAGAGGCCCAGGGGCGATCGCCGATATCACCTAGTCTACCCAGCCAACGATACGCTCCCAGCCCAGCTAGAAAGAACGACCCCAGGGGTGATGGTATCTCTAATAGGATCCAATCCAACAACAGCCACCATAGAACGCCGTCCACTCTAAGAAATCATAGAAAAGGCTCCAAGGCTATACTATCTCAATCACACACCTTTAGTGATGCACCAAACCTTCGAGAACGCGTCGGGACTAGAGGGAGAAGATACAGAAGTGCAGCAAGCAGCGATAACGCCTAATCTAAGGCTCAAACTATCAGACTCAAGTCTGCTACTCCAGTCTACAAGGAGCTAAGTCATCCGAACGACGTCGGCATAAAGTCAAGGCTATCCAGCCCACACGGGTCATAAGTCTAAGGCAATGCTAGCCTAACCTAGACTAAGGACATCATGCTTACGGTTAAGGATAAACAAGGCATACAACACATAACGTACAAGCATACAATAGCATTTAGCACATAAGCATGCAACTCTACTAAACCGGTTAACATGATACTACACCCGAAATATGACCAATCGATCCTAACATAAGGTATCTAATCAAACTAAGGTAGTAAACTGGTACCCAACCCTAGTTCACTCCAATCGACATGTTGTTACACAATTAAGCTCAATCTAAAAGAAAAGAAGTGGTAGCCTAACTTAAGGCCGATCGCGCGCTCTCCCAATCACTTTACCGGAGGCGCGTGCGCGCTCCAAATCACTTTGCCGGAGTTTTTCCTTCCCGAACGACCTTTGAACGCTGCCACTCTATCGAATATAGAATCACAACGTTAGTACGGTCGTTTAGACACCAAAATCACAACAAATGGAGACGGGTCAAATTTGGATTCAAAATCAGAATCGGGGGACCCGCACCGAACTGTTCGGATTTGACTCCGTCAAGAGACCCAAAACAGTACCCTGTACTTGTGTTCCAAAATGGAACACAATTCGGGGCTCAAAACGCAGAAAAACCCAACATGCAAGGAAAAATCACATTTTAATCAACTTAAAAGAAAACATGCAGCAGTCTAAACTCGAAAGTTACGAGAATTGAAAGGTGCCCAGCACTCCTTGAACACTCTACGACAAAACCACGACAATTTCCAACACGTGGGACTTCGAATCACCCAAAACCGAGCTTAAATGAGTGAGATATGACCAAAACAAGGATGCCAAAAACAAAAGCTCGAAAAAGGGCCTAACAGTCAGGTTTATAACCAAATTTACCTCGAACGACGCACACCCGACAACTTCCGAACACTCTACAGCGAAGCCACCAAAATACGAAGCTCCCGCACTTCGAATCGCCTAATTCGGTTGAGAGATGAGAGAGTTATGAGTGTTTTAAGTTTGGAAAGGGTTGCTTATATTTTCTGCATTTATAGCAGATTTTTCTGCAATTTCTTTCCAAAACTTAAAACTTCGACGGGGTGCTCCGAACTCGTTCGGAACCCCGTGCATGCAAACGAAATATACAACCATACCAAATTCGATATTCCGGACTCAATGGCGCAATCGAAATTTCCATAAAAGGTCATCTTGACAAAAAGTGGGTCCCACACTCAAATGCATGTTAAGTCAAAGCCCACAAAAGGGCTCGGAAAAATATCGGAAACCTCGGGACACAAAAGAAGGGTCAATCTAGACCAAACTCAACATTCCAAAGCTAACCGCGCTGACGAAATTCTCATCCGAGCGTGTTTACTCAGAATGTTGACTAAAGTCAAACTTAGGCTTAAACTTAAAGTTAAAACGCCTAATCGCACCGACTCACACTGAAAACCTCGGGAGTCATGCCGACCATGCGACTAGCCTAAAATGACCTTTCTGGAGCTGATGGAATCGTCAGAATTGGATTATGATGTCATCTTCTTGAACTTTTGATCGAAAACGATTGTTCAAGGTTCATAAGCTTCAAAAACACTAAAACTTGCACAAAAGTCAAACGAACGACCAGGTGACCGAATTGTCAGTCCCAGCAAGTCATAAATGACTTGTAGTCGCTACAGAAACGCTCTAAACGACACACCGAAGGTAAAACACAGAAATGACCAGGAGGGTCATTACATTTATATGCATTAAAATTTGAACACTCTTGTTAGAATTCTTGGTTTCTCAACCCCGGACACAATCATGGTAACATATACATTACAATAACTAGTGGGAAAAAAAGAGCAAGTATTGAAAATAGGAGAAACCTATTTTGAATTATCAAGAAAAAGAAAAAACAACACAAACTTGTTTACTAACTGTCAACTGTTAATAATGACTGAAATCTCTCTATAATGACCACTAAAGAAATTTTCAATTGTTTCTTTTCGTGCTAGGCAACTGAGGAAGCTCAACATTTAAAAAAGTTGATAAAAGACTATACTGCTTCTTTCATCAAAGTAGGAGATAAGGTTTGGTGTTTCTAAATTTCTAAAGTTCAAGTACAATTGTTTTTTATAATGTGTTTGTGTCCATCTAGTATTGATACTTAGCTTTAATTTTGTGATAATTTATTTGTGTCCATCGAGTGTTTGTTTAGCATAAGTACCAACACTAGTTGATCCTATTGATGACAAAATTGAATTTTTTACAAAATCGATTTGTGTCCATCTAGTGTTGACACTTAGCTTTAAAAAGTTGTTAAGTTGTTAAAGTTATAAAGTTGTTAAGTTGTTTAAATAAGTTAAAATAAATAATGTGATTTAGTTGGTGGATTTAGTGTTGTATTAAGTCAAAACTAAACTAGTTAAAGAGTTAAAGTTGTTTAAATAAGTTAAATTAATTAATGTGGTTTAGTTGGTGGATTTAGTGTTGTATTAAGTCAAAACTAAACTAGTTGATATGTTATTTTTAAATATCAAATACCGTATCAAATACAAAAAATTAAAATATATATCAATATACGATAATATCAAAATCACAATATTAAAATTTTTTATATGGTATGATATTTTGGTATATACCATACCATGCAAATCCCTAATTTGCGCCTCAAAGCATTTCTTGAACACTCCAAAACTTGTCACAAAAATGCCTTTGAAAACACTGATTTAAAGATGCAATGAAAAATTCAATTGGTCCACAAATTTTGTAAATTCCCAAATAAGCCTCTTGACCTCAAGATCCTGTCTATTCACTCTTATGATATAGACTAGTTACAAAGAGCCCGTGCAACTGTGCAAGCACAAATTAAATATACATAACTTTATTTATCTCAATTTATGTGGCACAAATATACTTAGGAGAGTCAATAAATTTTTATATTTGTTTTAAATGTTATAAGTTGTTAATTATTGTAATTTATAACATTTTTTAATGTAATTTATAAATAATATATTTATTTGTCCCAATTTATATGGTACAAGTGAAATTTAAAGACTCAATTAAATTTTATATATATTTTTTAAATTATTAATTATTATAATTTATAATACTATTTTTTTCGTAATTACTAAACACATAACATACTTAAAAGAAAAATAAAACAAATAAATTTAAACAGAGAAAACTTTAAATATAAATCGAGAAAATCTTTATAGTACAATTTTTTAATACATAACATACTAAAAAAAACTAATAATAAAATAAATAAATTAAAACCAAGAAAACTACATATAAGTAGTAGAGGAAATTCAAGCAGAGTGTAAAAGTCACAACTCAACAACATAGGGTTCATCAAGAATTGGTTCAAAACTCACTGTTTGTGGAGTTTATTCAGATTCACTCAACCCCACATCAATCTCTTTCTCTACTAACCTCCAAGGTCCCTCTCTCAAGTAAGTTTCTCTGTACCCTTGTTGTTCTTTGGTTGTTAATTTCAATTACCTCAAAGAATTCTGAATTGTTAACAAAATATTGAAGTTGGGGAATTAATTTTTATTTAGTTGGAGGAATCTTATTGTAACAGCCCATATTATGCATATGCTAGTTCTATTCATGTGATACTTGACATAGCCTTATAGTATAGGTGAGGGACCATGTTTCTTATATGGTTAGTGTTGGTTCGTACCGCTGCATCCTATGTGAACTTGTCACAACTTTAAGATTGTCATAGTTATTATATGCATAGTAAGCACAGTTGCATGTTGGTTCTCTCGGGCCTTTAGGGAACTGACGTCCGTCTTAGTGGGAACTGAGGCGTGACACTTATTGTTAGTATGTTTTGTGGACTTGAGAAAATCCTTGGGATGGTGAAAGTTTCGATTTTTATCTAGTAGGGGAAAGAGAATTTCGAGAATATTTCCCAATTTTATGAATGTTTTAAGTTTATGAATGCGAGAATTAATCTGTTAGTGTTTCTTTGTTTACTTGTTAGATATCAAGAGCAGTTTCAAATTCCTTTTATCAACGAAAACCTCTGTCTGTTGTAGTCTCAATTGTTTTTTTTGTTTTTTTTTTACGTCTATTTTCCTTGTACAAATATTATATGCATTTTCTTTATCAATGAAGCTTCCTCTCTTCATTTTTCCAAACCGTATTTCTACATTAACACCTAGCTTCGTTCTAGCATTAATATGTACTTATATCACTTGGATTAATGTAACTATTTGAATCTTTAATCATCTAGGTCAGTCAGAATTATTTACCTTAAGCACTTAAATTCCACCTAGTTTGAATTTGTAGGGAACCTAGTTGTGGACCTCGAATGGTGCCTATTACTTTTCTTTTGAGGTAATTGGAACTCTTAACGATCTCAGGTTGTGGAGACTAGTAAATTGAATTATTTGCAATTAGCTGTAGTAAATAGGTTCCCTAATGCGCAATAAGGGTGTTGCCTAGTGGTCAATGAAGTGGATTGAGAACCTTAAGGTCGTAGGTTCAAATCCCAGTAGAGACAAAAAATAAGGTGATTTCATCCCATTTGTGGATGTTACCTAGTACCTCTTGGTAAGGGGTACATGTATCCCATGGAATTAATCGGCCCGGACACCACAATTATATTTAAAAAATTAGGTGTTCTAACACACCTTAACCCAATAGGTGACAACTCTTCTCTTTTAGCCCATTAAAAGAGTTGTCACATGTTGAAACCCGCTTTTGCGAGAAAATGGGGTGTGACACACTTTAGGGGGAAAAGTGAAGTATAGAAATAGCCAAGGACTAGGTACAAATTGGAAAATAGTGCATATACAATAAGGATGTGTAATGCAAAGAACTCAGAACACATACATACAGTATCTTGTACTAATACTGAGTTTGTACAATTAGTTTCTCAAGTATCTGGTTATCTTATTAAGAGTTGGCGTTATATCTAACAGGGAAATGAACACGGAAGAAAAAAGATTTAATCAAGAAGAGGAAGATGAGGAGGAAAATGGGAGAGGTCGAGAAGCATGGGAAAGAACTTATGCAGATGAAAGATCATGGGAGTCTTTGCAAGAGGATGAATCAGGACTCCTTCGTCTAATTGACAACAAAACTCTATCCCATGCTCAGTATCGACGACGTCTCCGCACTGCAACTGCTGCACGAATTCAGAAGGGTCTGATTCGGTACCTCTACATTATCATTGATTTCTCCAGGGTATGTAAAATCCTATATGATTGCAAAATAACTGCAGTATTGTAATTGGTTACTGACATTTAAAGGTTTTAATTTTTCTTTTGCAAGATATGAAAAAATTATTTAAGCATTTATAGTTATCTGTTTGTAAATGAGTTATCACCGGAAGAAGTTAATCAGGTTCAATTTCCCAGACAATCTGCTGATCTTCTTCCGATGCTAGCAAATTGTTTCTTAAGAAGGAATACAATAGGGTCCTTTTTAAAGAACCAGCAGCTCTTCGTTTTATGGATTTCTATTTGCATCTAGGGCTGAAGATTTAGTGATTGCAACTGGTTGATTATGCTATGAGATATTGATAAAGCCAAGTATATTTCTTTTTCTTGGAATGTCTTTGAGAAACCAACACTCTTAACTTTTTCAGAAAATCATGCTACTCTATGCCTATGCAATTGGGTCGTCTTTGATCAGTTTAATGAATATTCAAGTGAATACCTACTTTCTGTTTTGATGTCACCATATTTCTCTAAACCACGTTTTGAAATTCTAAAATTGTGAATTGAGTGTATAAGACAATTATTGCCTTTTAAAATGTCCCTTAATTGGGTTGTGCTTATCACTGCATTGGACGTTTTCTTTTATCATTGACAAGGTGCTGCAACAGACAATCTTAATCATTTGCATGTAAGCTTCTTGCTGATAGTTCTCCTTTCAAGATGTCAGAATCCTTGTTTTTTTGTGACATTTTCCTAGTTTTCTTTTTTTCACATTGCTCGAAAGTTTTTCTGAGCATCGGTTGCATCTACTTGATACTTTTCCTACATGCTTATATTCCGCAACACCTACGCCAACTTGGAAAGCTAGAAGAAAATTTTGAAATGCTTTGAGTACTAGAAATCTAGACATAATAGTAGAGACTTTTAGCGTTCATTTCAACTAAGTCTGGATGACTTTAAAAATGACTTTTGAAAGAGAGAGAGACAGTAATGTCTCATAATATCTTGAACTTTTACATCTTTTGAGTTAGTAATTGCTCACCTGAATTTTGAATTTAGGCAGCTGCAGAAATGGATTATAAACCAAGCCGAATGGTTGTAGTTGCTAGACAAGTGGAGGCTTTTATAAGAGAATTTTTTGACCAGAATCCCCTGAGTCAAATTGGCTTGGTGATCTTGAAAGATGGAGAAGCTCATTGCTTAACAGATCTTGGTGGCAGTCCTGAGGCTCATATCAAGGAATTGATGGGTAAATTGGGGACCTCAGGTGATGCATCCCTTCAGAATGGCCTAGATCTTGTGTGTGATCTCCTAAATCAAATCCCATCGTATGGTCATCGTGAAGCCCTTATCTTGTATTCAGCTCTTAGCACATGTGATCCAGGGGATATACTGGAAACCATCCAAAAATACAAAGCGTCCAAGATAAGGTGCTCAGTAATTGGTCTCTCTGCAGAACTCTACATATGCAAGCATCTCTGCCAAGAGACTGGTGGAATGTATTTTGTTGCATTGGATGAGGTAAGGAATAGATAGTTGAGCTCTGAAGTAGTGGCAATACGAGAACTTGTGAAACAAAAACTAATAGAATAAAGGAAATCTTTTGCTGGAAATTTAGGAGAAATTTGGTTCTAATAGCCTACTATGTAAAATGTCTCATTGAATGATGATTAACTAAATGTGGCAAGCATAATAATGTTAAAACTTTTTATGATTTGATTCGTTGTTATTGCTCTGTCAGCCTCATTTAAAAGAGTTGGTATTGGAGCATGCCCCACCTCCTCCAGCTATTGCAGAGTTCGCTGTTGCAAATTTGATTCAGATGGGTGTAGACACGTAATTTTTAACTGAACTTGATGTTTTACACAAATTTTAGTGGTTAAATATTTCTTTTACTTTTAAATTAAATATTTTGATTTTATCATATTTTAGTAAGTTTAGTGTAAAAATATTTGAAAACCACAAAAATAGAGTCATGTTTTAAGTTAAGTTTTGTTTTCAATTTATTCAAAAGATTTAAAAATAACAAAATATATGTTTATTTTAATTTTAGTTTAATAAATAAGCTAATATTTCTTAATTATAATTTATTATTAGCTATACAATTTTTGTTAGTTTAAAATATAATTAAATAATATCTATATTATATTTATTATATTATATTATATTGTATTATATTATATTATTAAAAATAACTAAATAATAATAACTTACCCTCACTCCCACTTTCTCTACCAATTACCCCACCCTTACCTACATTATCCCCATTATCCCATAATATATACTCCACTCAACTCCCTCAACCAAAAACACAGATACTACACCACTTCATCCATACACACGTACTACATACTCCCTATACGTACCACACACCCTAGATATATTAGCAAACAACACACAATCAGAAAGGGAACACGCAAAAAACAAAAGAAAACACAGAGAAAGAAAAAAGCAACCAAATACACAACACACACAAACGCAAGAAAAAAAAGATAACGGAATCACGCCCCAAACCAAAAACTCCATTTTTGTTTTATTCTTCTTTCAAACAATAATCATACATTCACATATTTTCTTCTTTTTTCATTACTACTTTATCTAAACACAACACATATACCATTGCAAACAACCTACAAAAGATTTGTGAGGGTTTTAATCGAGGTTCGATCAAAATTTTGCGGTACTTATTTTCTTCATTTGAGGTATAACTTTGCCTTAAATCTTTAATTTATTTATGGAATTTGATGTAATTATATGAATAGTTTTCTTATAGTTTTGTTTTATTTATAATTTGCTTGATATGAATATTAGATTAAAGAGTTATATCTTTGTTTACTAAATGAGGGTAACTTTAATTGATGATTATTTTTTATTTATTTATTTTTATTCGTTAGTTGTGACCTCTTAAAAATGAAAGATCATGGCATTGTTCTTGTCTTCATTTATATAATAATGAAAAAGTAAGGAATTGTTAGGCTAAACATAAGTAAATAAATTATTGTTGTTTTATTTTATCAAACAGAAAATGAGACTTATTTTTAACAATTCGGTATTGTGTTGTTGGATTAGAAAGTGTATGTTTAATTTTGACGTCAACTTTAAGAATGGTAAAGAATAAAATGATATGAAAATGATCCAAAATTTATTCTAAAAGTTTAGTATTTTACTTTATTTGCTTTTCTTTATAAGGAATAAATATTTTCGTTTAACGCTAGACCGAACACTTCGGCATGATAAAAATATTTGTTTCAATTAAGAATGTGGTTACACATCTTTTTTGAGATATTAAAATAAACTCAAGGATGCGATGACGCACCTTGTCCACTAATATAATTAGTATTAATTTAAGATAGTGACTTACAAAAAATAAGGTTATTAAGTGTGATGCAAAGAAGACAGTTATGTCTCTAAAATGTCAAGATCGAGAATGCAGTTATGCGTTCGGTTTAAGACAAATAAAAATTCAACAATTAAAAAATAAGTGAACCATGGCCTTAGACACAAATTATCCAAAACATATTAAAATAAGTATAAGTCAATAAAAGCGACCGTGCTAGAACCATGAGACTCGAGGGATGCCTAATACCTTCCCCTCGGTCAACGGAATTCCTTACCTGAATTTCTAGTTCGTAGATCAAAACTAAAAGAGTCATTTCCTATTGATTAGGGATTCGAAAAGGTGACTTGGAACACCACAACACAATTTCAAGTGGCGACTCTGAAAAATTAAAACAAATCAATACCGTCACTTAAATTGGAAAAAACTCTTCCGCCGCTGTGCACAAAAAGAGGTGTGACAATGGGGTTCCCCCAGAGAACAGCAGAGGGTGTCATTTCAATTTGTTCATGTCATAAAGAGGCTAAAGTTGGTGGTGGATACACTTGTCCGAGATGCAAAGCACGCATATGTGAGCTGCCTACTGAGTGTTGCATTTGCGGACTGACCCTTGTATCTTCTCCACATTTGGCAAGGTCATATCACCATCTCTTCCCAATAAGGCCATTTGATGACGTTTCACCCTCAACTCTGAAAGATTTTCACAAGTTACCAAAGAATTGCTTTGGTTGCCAACTGAGTTTTCTAAATCCTGGTAAGAGCACTCTTCTTATTTACAAAATCAAAACTATCTTGAGGTAAAAGATTTATGCCCAAAAACAAGGAAATCTGTCTTATTTTCTTACTCTTCAAGATTACTCTGTAAAATAACTACTGAAGTGAATCTGCGATCCAATGAAGCACGTGGTCACACAATATATTTGTAAAAACGACTTGCATTTTATGGTTCAGAATTGAAACTTCCAGTGGTAAAAAAGATTCATGCCAAAATGAGGAAATATGTCTTTTCTGTTTGCTCTCAAGATTGCATTGTAAGTAACCTTTAGAGTGAATCTGGGACCCAATGAAGCACCTGAGCTGGTCTTCTTTATCAAAATAAATAAATAAAAATGGAACACCTGAGATTTGCATTTGTTTTGCAGATATTATCATTATCCATGTATATGCTAGGATGTTCGATAATTTGATAATTTCAAGTAGAGTAGTTTATCAGATTAATCCTGGGTACATAACCCTGACCTGAAGCATCTGCTGTTGCTAAGGATGTCAATGAAGTTCCTTTCTTTTTTTTTGAAATTGGTAAAAGTTATATTCATCAGCATTCAGGGCTATGCTGGCCACCTCCAAAATTTACAAAAGAGTCATGGATAGTTACAAAGAACCTATAAAATCCACTAATTGGATTTCTTCTTCTATATTCTGTTCTTTACGCCAAAAGCCTAAAGTAGTATGAAGTTCCTTTCTTTAAGTTCATAGCTGCAGAGAATTGTAGAAGGCATTTACATAATTGTTTGTCATCTGAGATATCTTGTATCTGCATTTGTCCGATTTGTAAAGAACGAAAGAAAAAAAAAACACGCACTAATCATAACTGAGCTTTTGTTGAACTGAAGCAAAAGAAATGTCTCTAGTGTTCTACAGAAGAAACAAGATGTTTAGTTTCTAGAGCTTAAATTTTTCACGTTCAAGATAATAAGTTCTTTTGTGTCACAATTCTGTGCTTCTCGCTGATTGTTTGTAATTATGTCCTTTGAGGACTGTTTTGAGGAAAAATTTCAAAGCAATGTTGAAATTTGGTCTTTTAAGGAAGTAGCCTGTTAAACTAGTGTTTGTATTCAGTCAGATTGTTTTTTTTTTTTGCCAAATTTCTTGTAACTTGTGATGAAATTAAGAAATTATTCTGTAAAATGAGTTGTGCTTGGACCAAACATTAATTGGGATCATAAAACCTGGAAAGGAAGCAATTTGTCTCTTCTTAATGCAAGTCCTAATTCATAGACAACCCCTTAAAGTTCCCGCGACTTTTCATTTAGACACCTTAATTGAAACTGTTACGCAGCAAACACCTAGGGCGTGTTCGGTATGATGGAAAGTGTTTTCTAGGAAAATAAGTGGATTTCTTACTTTTTTTTAGATGAAGTAATTGATTCAATTCATGTCATCAAAAAGATACGAAGTAGTTACAAAAGAGTGAGTGTGTTCGGTACGCAGGCAAAATTTTTTATCCTAAAAGCATTTGTATATAATTTGAACAATACTATGAGAGGTGAAGGTGAAGCGTAGGGTGTGTGGGGTGGTGGGGATGGGGGCTACATGGGTGATGCTGAAGATGAGGTGTGTTGGAAAGTCGGAAGGACACTATCAATGTGGAATCCCACTTGTGTAACTTGTTTACATTTTCCAAAAAATGTGTTCGTCCATACCGAACAAACCCCCTAATGAGTAATGTATATCTAAAATGTGCCTATTGAACACGTCATGCTTAGCTAGTAAAAAATAAAATGTGTGAGTTTAATGTGAGGATGTGGCAAATTAGCAAATTGAACAAAACCACGTGACTTTTGAATCCAACTAATAAAAAAGGAAAAAGAAAACACTAGTTTTTGTATTCAGCCTGAATGTTTTTTTTTTCCGCCAAATTTCTTTTGACTGTTTTTTGATTCAGTCGATAGTATTCATTGAATTAGAGCAAATTTCAATAGTTCTGGAACAAGCTTCCACCACATCCCAACTTACAAAAAAAGAACAGGTACTACTACTATAGCAGAAATATATACTCTACAGGAACCATAGAATAATGATGATGGAGATGTATTGCGGCCTTCTCCTGTTCATCAACTCAAACCTCATACTAATTACACCATAATTTAACCACCACACCAAGCAGAATCCCATGTCCTTTACCAACATTAACATAACTGCTCTTCTTTTCTTGACAGCAAGACTTTTGCAGACTCATCAAAACTCAGAACCAAATCTCCCCTCTACCCCCAAAACCACAAAAGTCCTGTCCTGTCTCTTGAGAGCATCCCCACAACATCCATAGCAGTCACCCTCTTCCTACGAGCATGCTCAGTATAAGTAACAACATCACAAATCACATTCTCCAAGAAGATCTGAGCACCCCCCGAGTCTCCTCATAGATTAGCCCACTGATACACTTCACTGCCCCTCTACATGCCAAATGCCTAATGGCTGGCTTTGTGATTCAATGAATGTTATCACAGAGGACCTTACGGTGAAGCTTTGCTCCTCCCTTTCCCAAACCTTTTCCTCCCCTTCCACGACCCGACATGTTCAGTCAACCTTTAGTTTCTCTGAAATTGGAAGCTTCTGAATTTCTAAGAGTGTTAGGGAGACAATGATGAAGACAAATTTCTTGTAACTTGTGTGATGAATTAGGAAATTATTCTGTAAAATGAGTTGTGCTTGGACAAAACATGCTTGGGATCATAAAACCTGGAAAGGAAGTAATTTATCTCTTCTTAATGCAAGTCCAAATACATAGGCAACCTCTTACAGTTGCCGCAGCCTTTTATTTACACACCTTAATTGAAGCTGTTACCCATCAAACACCTAATGTATGTCTAAAATGTGCCTATTGAACACGTCATGCCTAGTTAGTAAAAATAAAATGCATGAGTTCACATGCGATGATGTGGTAAAATGGCAAATCGAACAAAGCCATGTAGATTTTGAATCCAACTAATTGAAAAAGGAAAAAGAAAACACTATCTTTAGAAAAAAAAAACCTCCCACCTTGTCATCTTCCCCAACCTCATCCTTCCTTCCCTTGTCTGGTTTCTCTCCGGTTCATTCCTCCATTTTCTTCCTTACCCCATGAAAATCTCTCCATAAATTTGCTCTCGAAATACCTCAAAAAATAAGAAAAAATAGAAATATGTCACTCTATTCTAAACAACACTAATCATGCCTATAAATACTCAAGTCATCCCTACCTTACTCAGCTGCCCAACAGTACAACTAAACCTCAATCCCAAGCAAGTTGGGGTCGGCTATAGGAATCCTCACTAACCATATTACTTCAGTTAAACCATCTGAGGCCAACATTATATAAAGTAATAGTAATAAAATCAAGCAACATAAAAAGTACTAGAAGTTCTTTATATTTTGCTACGATAAACAACTCCGATTAAAGTATAGGACATAAAGTAAAAGTGTTAGCATGACTAAAACATATTCTTAATTAATAGGTATCTCCTACATAGATCTTTTTCTTCCATTGTGCCCTATCTTTCACTAAGCCTTGCATGAACCTCACTAGATTGTAAATCTTTCAATACAACTTCCTTCCAAGTGATTTAGGTACCTCTTCCCTTTTTATTACTTTCTCTCACCACATATCTACAAACCGGTGGATTTGAAGTTCGATGCAAGACATAAACATGCCATCTCAAGTGACCTCTTATTTTTTCCTCGATGTGTGCTACTTGAACCTTCTTGTGAATGCGATTGTTTCTAATCTTGTCTAGTCTTGTGTGACTGCCCATCCATCTTAGCGCCTTCATTTCCATGCCACTCATCTTGATGTTTAACTTTAGAGACCCAACAATAGAGTTATCTTTTCTCAGGCAAAGTTATATAAACCACGTTTCAAGGCTACAAAATCACCGACTGTCGATGGATGCTTTGTTAGACTGAACAAATGAGGTTCATCATCTTCTTTTTCTTCTACTTGTTCATGGGTTGCCATCCCCTTAGTTTCGGTAAATTTAGGTGTTGATACAATAGTGGGTGTCAGGGGTTTTGCTTGAAATTGGAAGGCCGTCAATCTGTGGGGTTGGAATGGTGTAGTGAATCACCATTCACTATACTGGGTATGTTGTTGTTGAATGGTGTAGTGAATCACCATTCACTACACGGGGTATGTTGTTGTTGTTGAATGGTGTAGTGAATTTGCACTGGGTATGTTTTTGTTGTTGTTGAATGGTGTAGTGAATGGATGATGTGCTGTAGTAGTAAAAGCTGGGCGTTCTATTTATTAATGGTGTTGTATCCATTGATGAGTCTTGGTTTCTAATGGTATTTCTCTTATTGGAACTGAAGGATGCTAGTTGGTATTTTTCGCTGGTGGGATTCTATTTAGGAGGGAGAGATGAAGGCTGCGGTGGTTTCTGGTGATTGGTAGTATGTCCAAACTGATGTGGGGAGGTGGTGGCAGCAGCAGAGAGGAGCTGGAGGAGAAAGAAGAAAGAAATAAAACAAAAATATTACATTACAATTCATGAGCTCAAAACTGTGAAAGCCACTCATTCTGCCACATAACTGTGAGGTGTTCAAACTTCAAACGTCATATTTTGGATATACGTTAAGTTGTCTAAAAGATAATAACCTCAATCGAGGTGTCTAAGTGAAAAGGCGTGGCAACATTAAGATTTAAGGGGGATGTCCATATGTTTGGCCTAATGCAAACTTAATGTACAGGAGTCTCACTTTTTGCTTGTTCCACTTTTCTCTTTATGCATCAAGATATTCTCACTTTTTGCTTGTTCCCCTTTGCTCTTCATTCATCAGGATATTCTCACATTTTGCTTGTTTCACTTTTTTCTTTATTTGATTTGATGCAGGAAATTTGCCAGGTCCGCAGGTTGCTTGTCCAAACTGCAAACAACACTTCTGCCTTGATTGTGATATTTATATACATGAGAGCTTGCACAATTGTCCGGGTTGTGAGAGCTTAAGGAATTCCAAGACCATTAGTGATATGGAAGAATGATAAGGATGTCTATTTCTGAAGTGGTTTATTCCTCAAACGGAACACGCTAAATGGCAAAATGTAATGTTATGTTGGATGTCCTTTCCAAGTACCAGAAATCTTGTTTCACAGCATGTCGTGAGGAAAAGTCAAGCTGGCTGCTTTCATAGGATTTTTACAGTTGGATCCAGCCAATATCTATGGAACAGCTATGGGAGACACCACTAACAATCTCAAAGGTAAAACTTGTATGGTCTAATCCAACGTTTGGAGCAATGCAGGATCACGGCATAATGTATATCATTCATATG